GGCTCCCCGCTCCTGGCTTGACCCGGAGGGCTAAAACACTGTTTGTTCTCTACACCTGCACAGAACGGAACTGCTGTGTTTTCTGCGTGAGAGTAAGGTGAACGAAAACTTAATTTAGTGTGTAATACTTTACAACCCCTGTTGGTTAACACCCTTGACCGCCTACCTAATGTTTTAAAGCCTTTAAAACATTTTTTTTTCTCGCAATTCTGCTCAGAGTTCCCTAACTTTAGCGTCATCAAACTTAATATGACAAAATACCTTCAAAAATACAGCATACCTGTAATGTCCATTTACAATGGTTCTTCAGTAGCCTATACTTCTCAAGCATAGGAATATGCTATACCATTGAGAGAAGAAAAATAACTGTATTTAAATACATACAAAAAGGAAACGGGAAAGTTTTTAACTTAAATCCAGTTCCCAAAGGAAAAAAAAAAAAAAAAAAGCAATTCTATGAACGCTGCCTTTATAACGAACAATCAGAAATTCCACTAAGCTAATTTGACAGAAATTTTTCCTCATTTAAACAACATTACAAAAGTCCTGCATTATAAAATAGGGTAGAATAAATCAGTGTAATCAATAAAACTATACAACATACAAATTACATATCTTCTGAGTGGGCAGTTTAATTCTCTCTCTTTGCAGCCATGACTACAACATGCTCACTAAAAACAACTAACTGCCCAAACTATTGCTTAGTTTGTTTTGTTTAAAAAAGGGTGCAATTTTATTGTATATACAACCAATTTACTGGTAATACCTTGTCTCATAGCAAGGTTCTGACAAAATGTTTGTCTAGGCTTTTTTCCCTTCACTGTGAAGCACTGAAAGCTGCTATTTTTTTTTTTAGTGCACATATGTCTTAATAAAGTAATGCCCAGCTAAGTGCTATAGGGAAGGCAAAGGATGCTGGCTAGAGGATGTGATACCATATACTAACAATCACACAATACAATAGAGCAAAATGACTACTCAACCACTTATCAGACACATATGAAAATCCAAAACATTTTATTTTTTCCTTAAATAGAGAATAACCAGTAAACAATTTTCAGAACTTGGAAGTTTAAAAACGTGCATATAAAAATGGGCATTATATACTTTTATTGAATGTGGATTGATTGCAGTCTGCTAATAAAAATGGGTGTGGGATCTGAAGAAAAAGGAAGTTTTTTTTTTTTAAGGCTTGCTTGTGAAAGGAACAGTTGTAAAACAAAAATTGCTTGAAGCAGGGTTCAGCTTAGTGCTTCACAGTTTGACTGCTTCTCTAAGAAGAGCCCTTCCTGCATGTGCATTCAAAATCACAAAAGTACAAAGACAAACACCTAAAACACACTGCGTCAAGTGCAGCACCAACTTTGGTCAAATAAAAAAAAATTAAAAGAAAAATTAATAATTGCTAAGCTTTTCTACATGATATAAGCAGGTATTGCATATTTTCATATATCTGGGAGAAAACAAAACAAAAAAGGAAGACTCCAAATAAAATGTAAAATGCAGCAACATCCAAAAATACTGATAATCTAGCATCTACAGATCTCAGAATAGCACTGCCACTGACCATACAGGACAATAAACACTACTCCTATCTGCGGAACAACTAACATCCTATTTAATTCTAGATGTTGAAACTGACAATGGCTGACATAAAAGTCACATTTACAAAAAGTGTCTCCAAATGCTTGACTAGGGAAAAACCCCTTTCAATATAGGAACATGTGCAACAATTCCACAAATAATCGCTATCCAGGGCAAGGCACATTGATATGGAATTTTTTTTTTTGTTTCGTGCAAATTAAGAAAACAAAACAAAACATTGTTTCAGGGAAAAGATGAGGAGCAAAGTGTCTTCCCAAGAATTTCAGTTACTTGATTGTATAGGACAGTAGTAGAAACCCTTCTGAAGGGTCGAACAAACATAGTTTAAAGGCAAGTGCCTGGAATAGGGATTACAATATTGTGTCTTAATGCACTCTACTTTACCCTACATTAACTATATAAAAATTAGTTACTAACACTAGAACATGCAGAGACTTTCTCTGATTAGCTGGACTTGCCAACCAGAACGTATATATATGTATAGTATAGGAAACCTTCTTAAAGTTGCATGTGAAGCAAAGGGGTGCTCCGCTGTCTGATAGAAAAAATCACTTGCACTCTTTTTTTTTTTTTCTTTTTTTTTCCTTTTTTTTGTACATAAGATACAGGACGTTTGGGGTCCAAACTTTTTTTGTGTTTTTTTTTTCTTTTTTCTTTTTTTCTTCTTCAGCAAGTGCCCTTGCTTTGAACTGGCGTAAGTTGTAAGATCAGCATCATTCGTTTCTGTCATGTTTTCTTTGCAGTCCAGAAAATGTACCAGTTCAGGGACACGAAGGTGTTTTACTTTCTGGACCATTCTCTCTTATTCCCAAGGTGTTTGAGAACTGATAACCCTATATTGCCGGAAACACGTAAAATTTGTCAGAATTGGCATAATCCATTATAGTGACTTTTAGCTTATAAAATTAACAGATATTATGATTTCATTTTAGTTATGTGCTTTGATAACAGAAAATGATTAATTAGCATTTAATGTAGTTAACATATTGTGGTAAAAGCACCATTAGATTTGTTTTTTTTTTTTTAATTTTCCTTCAGTTTTAAAGGGATACAAGTTCAACAATAAAAAACATAAAAAGCAAAAATAGCTCCCCTTTTTCTTGCAAGGCTGTTTTTTACCCCAATAATTTAGAGTCCTGGGGTGGAAGGACTTGGAAAACAAAAATAGAATTTTCAACAATCTCTATCTTACAAAGATATTTAGCTATCCAATGAAATTGCACTTTACTCAATTCAAAATTCGATTGTTTTGATTGATTCCTGTCAGTTTCTGTCAAAACAGACCAACTTCCCCATTTCTGCGTGAATTTTTGTGTAATTGTTGAAAATTGTTGAAAAATGTTTTTTTTTCAATGTTAAGTGCAGCATTTCAAACTTTTTTCTTTTTTTTCTTTTTTTTTTTTTTTTAGTGAATAGTAGTAGGTTTGATGTTTTAAATCGCTCTGCAATCGAGTGGAAAAAATTGTTGACAATGCTCTTATGGTTCATGTTATGTATCTAAGTGCCGACTGTAAAAAAAAAAAAAAAACCAAAAAAAAACCCCAACAAAAAAAAACCTGCAATTTTTTTTTTTTTTCCCGATATGTTACAGAAAAACATGCTCTATGTCTGTCCGGTAAGTTATATATTGCAGAATTCAGCTACTACAAAAGTTATAGTTTAAGTGTGTTTCATGATTTCTCAAGAAGTCTCACACCTGTATGGGAAAAATCGATGAGGATACTGTAAAACAGTTAGGCTCCATATGGAAAGTGTGTTACAACAGCGAGTTGGTAAGCAGCAGCAGAGGCTAGTTCTACTCAGTGTCACCTAACGCTTACACTACCAATGAAACACTTCAAAAGTTATGAAGCCCAACCATTTCCAGCACCATATGAGAAATTACAACAGTCCTAAGTTGTCTAAAAAAAAAAAAAAAAAAATAAAATCTCGAAAAAGTTACGGCCTTTGCCATTCAACCATAACGTTTGCCATTTCCATGTACTAGTTTGCTGTCGGTGTCTGCTCGCCTCCCCTTCCGCTGATGTGAAGTCGCTGCGCTGCGTTGCTGCTGCTTCCGTGTTACAGAGGTGGGAAGGGGTCTGGTGGTCTGTCCGGTGGGTGGTGGGAAGCGGAGACTTTTATCCCAGGTACCAGGACTGCAAAAGAGAGAGGAGAAGCGTCAGCCCCTGCCGCCCGCTCGCTCTGCTTCCCGAAGGGCTCGGGGCATCGCCGCCAGCCTCCTCCACCAAGAGGGGGGCTAATTGAGACCGTGACAAATTGACCTAATTACAAAGCTTAATTAAAAATACTGTACAAATCAATATATTTTTTTTTTTTGCCGACAGTCACTGGACATAGCTACAGATGAACGCGGGGGTCATGTCACGTTACAAGTTATCAATCTTTTTAATAGATTATGGCTTGAAGATCCCTCCAGTTCACTTTTGTCTAATCCCCTGAAAAGGCGATACACATTCGCCTCTCTGTGCCATTTATCACCCTGCAGTCGGGGTTTTCTTGGGTATTTAGGCATGTGCCAGCATAAGCATCTGTTGCTTTATACTGCCCTGCTTCAACTGTCTCGCTGGAACAGATGCACAGAAATTCAACAACAGGGTTGTTTTCTTAGGAGAAATGTGCATCGCTAGAGAAAAGCCAGGATAAAGCAAATCTGGGGGAAAGTGGATCAGCGAAAATGTCCCGTATCTCTGGCCAGACTTGTGTTTCAAAGCAAAACGTGGACCTCAACTAATAGCTTTTCTTCGGAAAAATCTTTTTTTTTTTCTTTACATTTCTTTTTACCTCCACCCAAAGGGAGGGAATTCCCTGGGATTTCAGCTCCATGACAATACCATCCTTAACCCAACCGCACAGATGCCTGGAGCACAGAAAGCGATTTCACTCCTCGACAGGAAAATAAACACTGTTGGAAAGCTGGAGTGGGCTTTGCTGGAGTCGGGACAGTGCCACCGCACTGGGGACACCCGACTCAGCCCCGGCGAGGTCAGACCGACCTGAACCCGGGATGAATAAGAGCAGTGTTAGGCCCTGGGATCGTACGCGCAGGGGGATGCTGCTTGGCAATGACATATTGCTGTGGGACTACACCAACAAGCGGCAACTATTTAGCCTGAAGTAAAGTAATATGACAAGAAAGATTCAGGTATTAAAGAGCCGTTGCTGATACCCCACGTTTCTGCTTTGGCTCCTGTAATATATGAGGTGCATACGTGTGCACGTATAAACTGATGACAAGTTTTACCAACTTTTTCCTCCGTTCCTTTTCAGCATCTGACGTGATTGATAGCATAATCAACCCGGGGAGGATTTATGAACATTTACAGAAGACTCTGAGGCAAGTTTCATGTGGGACTTGGAGATTATGTGGTCTTGCCATGGAGGCAGGAACCAGTAAAATAAATAGCACGATCGGAGAAGTAGTCCTGCTTCCAATACACCTCATTAACTAACTCTTCCTCCGCTCACCCTGCTGAATACAAACACACCGGTCCCCTATCAGCTCCATCTATTGCCTACAGATTTCATATTTAGACGTACACAGGCTGCAATTAAATTAAATAGTTCTCATATGTAAAGTTCATAAACAGAGAAAAGTTCTGGCAGGATTTGTGAAGCAGTGCCAAGCCCTGTTCCCCTCCCTGACTGCAGGGCCCTATTCATTTTAGGGAAGCTGAGCACAGGCCGTGCCGGAGGCACCTCTGACCACCGCGGGCTGCAAACTCTTCTGAACTTTGCGAGGTCGTCCCTTACGCTTGTCGTTTGAGCGTGACGGTCTTTGGCTGGGCTGGGAACTCTGGAAGAGCCCAGCAGGGAGTAGAGGGGTTAAAAAATTCAGAGCTGATGGTTCAAATCTATATTGCAGATGTCCAATTGGCTCCCATCGCCCTGGCCACAGGGCCCACCGGGGATGGCGGGAGCTGCTCTGGCCTCGCCACTCCCCTTTCGCTTCACAATAAGATTAAAAAAAAAAAAAAAAAAAAGGCAGGGAAAAACCACGAAAAATATGCAAAAAGCAAGCAAGCTGCGGTTTCAGAGGTGGAGGAGGGAGGAGGCCCGGGATGGCGAAGGTGCCGAAGCGGGGTGGCAGGGGCAGGAGCAGCGGCGCAGCGGGG